CTTAACAGCTACGCGAAGGTCTTCTCTTCCGCACAAATCACCTTCACACTCTCACTGTCATAAGTGTAATCTCCATCTTCTCCTTCGCATTGTCCCAAGATTTGTCTCCAATGCTTAATGGTCCAGCTCGTCGGGTTGCCACAAAGTTACTCAGCGTCCGGCGCGCATCCTTCGTGCCACTCCTGCACAATTGCTGCGGAAACTCAATTCCAACTCCACACCAAGAAATTGAGCTTGTCAGCTACCAATTCTTGCCGATACGCTCGTAGTCCAAATTCTGGCACCTTCAACGCTGACAATGAAAGTCCTGAAGATCTTTTCATCGCTGCGCTCTGAATCTCTCACTCACGATTTTCAGTGAGCTCCCAATTTGCAAATACACTCTCACGAAATGTCGACGCCGATCTTTAGTTTCTGCCAATGTAATTTGACGCTCTAACCGCATCGTAAACTCGTGCGAATTAACGGTACAAGTGTTTGAATTTCGTTCAACGTCGCCTTTCACTTCGCCGAAGGTACTTCTGCTGTAACGCCGGAGAAGCTATCACCGAAATCCGAATGCTTTTCTCTGAAGGCGATACTAAGCCTTCCTCGAACTATATTTTCCCCAACATACATTCATAAGTTCGGATTCCCTAACTCGTTTTTGGTGTTCTTTGACTCATTGTAACGAGTACGTCAAGCTCTATCCATTGAAGCACGGTCTATTTACTACTTCTACTCAGCTTCTAGTCCAGAATCCACTATTTACTCTATCTCTGACTATTCCTATTCTAAAAGTTTGAAATTATTGGTCTTCAACTCCTCAAACTTACTCTTTTAGGAAAAAATGAAAAAATTATCTCTTGAAATTATAAAATTGGAAAAATTGGAAAAAGAAAAATTTTGATTTGATTTTTGATAGATTAAAGGTTTTTGGAAGTCATTTGTTCAACATGGTGTGTGCAGAAAAGTTGAAAAATGTTTAAAAGCACATATCATACACAAGTTTTTTGAAAAATTTAATTTACTGAATTTTTATTTACTTTTTCACTTTTGGACATCTTTTTGTGTGTTTTTTCTATAATAGCTGAAAACCAACCTCAAGTTTTTAAATATCGGTATGGTTGATTATGTTTACTTGCCCAAAGAGCGCTGTAAAAGTTTGATGTAATTATTGTTTGCACATAGATATTAGTACTTGAGATTTTAGAGTTGTGATAGTATGATTTCAAAGTGTCAAGTGTGTAAATATGATTTTGAAACATTGATCGTAATTTACATTGAAGCTTGACGTTTGTGACTGTAGTGTGACATTAGAAAGAGATCATTAATTATTATCGAAAAGAGATTCTATACTTTATAATGTGTTAGAAATTATCATAAAAAACACAATATTTTGATAGTAACTTTGATTTACACACTCAAATCACAACATCGTTCATGGGATATTTATATGTAGTTGACTATAATGAACTTTAGATCCCTCATTGAAACTAGATAACCATGTAAACAGGCAGTCTTGATATGTATGATGTTTGGATACACCAGTGCATCAGATGTTGTGATGATTTTCTATTCCTATTAGAAAAGAATGACCTGTACTCTCAAGTGCTGTGTCGAGTGGGAGTTAAGATGTAATCGTCGTTATTAGCATGCAACCTACTTTGATAATAACATGTATGAGATTAAAATGGGGTTATGAAGTTACAAGATAACGTTCAAATATATCATATCATATTGTAGACTATGTGGAGTGATTGTATGGCAGGGCCCTAACACCGATAATTACAACATATAAAACTTCGGTTTCATTAGGAGTTTTTCCTTCAAATGAGGACAACTCAGTTTGTAAAAAATCATTTTTTTCTAATAGAGAAACCAGGCTGAGCTAGTGCTCTTGGTTAAATGAGAGACTTGACATTTGCAGGTATAACGCTCTACCGATATCCAGACTTCGCAATTAATACCATGTACAAGTGCTTACTTAAACAGAGTTTCCTGAACGAAAAGCTGCGAGCTCCAACTCAATGATGGGCTGATTAATGAAAAGACAAACTTTCACCTTTTCCTTTTCTTCTGTAACTGTTAGTGGTAGCCGGTGTCTGTATCTAGTTGCGATCCCGAATTTAAGATGAACTTGACCCGCAGAGCTTCGGAACGGTCAATTACACGCAAAGCGCAAAGCACATGCTTTGCATGACAGTCTTCTTCTTGCTCCATGTAACGTTCACTTCCAGCTCTCGACTCACTGAATGCTGAAAGAAGACACGATCAGTCAATCTGACCTAGAAGTATGCACTGCCTCATTTGTGTCATCGGAAATCACTGCATTGCATGTTGTCAAAGTCTACGACTCGTCTCATGGCATGGTACGCTAGGGAGCGCCCATCTCTGAAAGGGCAGCGTTAGTTATTTGTACCAACCACCACCACATTAAGAGGCCAAAAAAGATAGATAGAGATTGAGGAATCTGATGGGATGCTACCATGCAGATAGTTAACCTGACACGGCAATAAGGTCTTGGATCTGCTGTTTATGCATTGTCTGAATCAGCAGTGCAACTTCCGTTGGTATGCTGCTTAAGTTTGAATGAAACAGTTCGACATATCGAACTCGTGTTAAGAAGTTGATGGAATCCTTATGCAGTTCGACATAAATTGAAACTCATGTTTAGCAGTTTATGGAATTCCTTTATACGAAGACCATTCCCGAGTGATATCTGGTTTGTTCAGTTCAGCGCAAAAGCTGCAACCAAAATTGGCAGCGAATGCAGCATATCTTATCATGCATCAAATTAGAGACCCCGCAGTTTGCAACAGTACTATTCTGCAACTAAAACCTATTCTGTTCAAAACATTTATTGTCCTTTTGTTGAGTTTTCCCTTCAAATTAAAGGACGTAATCACGGCTGCCTGCTTAGGTGAATATTTTGCACCAACTTAACAATAGGTTGCGTGGGAAGCACTGGGCAGTAAGTGCAAGACAGTTCTTCGTGTCACAGAAAGCTGGATCGACCAGTAGAAGACAGCGAAGGAAGTACAGAAGAGTGTCCTTTTAGTGGGCACTTCTGCTTCACATTCCTCCGAGATTGAAGTGCAGGGAAGATTAACGTAGTCACAGTACATGCTGCAGCAATGTCATGGTCATGTCATAAAATATGATAAAGAAGTAGATACGAACTTGGCGAAGCGTTGTTTGCATGTACAGTGCACTGGTATATCGTGCATGAGTCCGTACCTTTAAGTCTTCTTCATGTGCTGAGATTTCAGCTTTGGAAGGTTCTTTTTACAGCTACGAAGTGGTACCTATTTTGATGGTGAATATTCCATATCTTCCTCGTACAGTAGTATGGAATTCACTTCGAAATCATATAATGCGAATAGTTACAGTTCGCCAGTTTTAGACAGGCTTGGTGGCCCTATGTGAAGTTGGGTACAATATCTGAATTTATCCCAGAACAGTTGGCGTCCAGAGGATTCACTTGTGCGCTTTTCTTCAGAAGCTGATGAAATAAGCGCGATAGCAATTCACTCAGGAACGACTTCCTCGCCCTATCAACATGGCATTACGAGTCCATAGGTCAGATATGTTATTAGATATGTTTGTTAAAATGGGCCAATACTTTTGTCAAGCTTGACTCAATTTTGCTAGCTTTAATCACGACAAACTGACATCCGCTCCATGGTTATCATGATCATGCAGTTGTTGGGCTTATTATAGCTGGAAAGTAGGAGTAAATCCAGTCCCACACACCTTGTACAGATCCCAAGAACACAACGATTGAAAGTGTTCCATAAGGAAAACTGGAAGTAATCATTCCGACCACTTCTTATCACACGATAGGCATCGTCTAAGAAAGGCAGTCTCTCTGAACGAGCTTTCGAGAATGCTCCTGTGAGTATTGATGGTGAACATGTACGCAGAAAGGCAGCAGGAGAATCCGCCCGATGGAAAGTTCAGTGGTCAGAATGGAGATCTATCTTAGAATTGATAGATCGCCATTCTATCTTAGAATTGAGGGGATCCGATGGAATTGGATGGGAGAGAATATCATTCTAATCTCTATATGTCTCTTTATGTGACGAATGGGATCGAAGGAAGAATGACACTGTGCCTCTTTTCAAACTTCTCTATGACGGATCTCTTTTTCGAGAAGGTTATTCATCTGCTTTGTGTCCAGTATAAGGTTGTCAAGAGAATGTGAATACGACAGTGACATTAAGTTTGTCAGACAGCCATGCTCGAGCTAAGCGTTGTCGCGTATCCAAGTTCCATGGCTTTGATTATTAAGTCCTTTATGGGAGCTATTTCTAATGCGACTAAGTATTTGGCCATTTAGTGTTAAAAGTGGCTAAATCTGCTGAAGGTTTTTTGCGTAGGTTCGAATTCTGCCTCTCCAAAGTATACTTCGTATATTTCAGATAGAGGCTGGGACCCAAGACTCAATAACCACAATATCTCTGGGGGCACGTAGTGCTTGTCGGATTCTTCTTCCGTTTTTTGCATCGATTCGATGTTCGCTTTCGAGATTTTTTTGGACTGATTGTTCCCAATTAAGCTGCTGGAAAGAAAGGATCAGATGAAAATTAAAGCAAGGTGGCCGATATCTGTAGAGTGGAAATACAACCGCAATTTAATGTTTTTGTCTTGGCCACCGCCAGAACTTATGTCGTTCTGATCACGATAGACATCTCTGGAGTTCCTTCTGCCGACTGTTCGAGTCTACATCACTTGAGAAAAGAGTTGCATGGTCTGAAAGTCTTGTTGACAGATAGATGTCAACACCAACCATTATATCATGACCTGAGTCGAATTCAAGTAAAATTTCCATCATGATTAGCATGATAATCATTTCGACTGGTGTAGCTCATCAAACTGCCATTCATCCACAGCTCAGAATTCACGAAGGAATCTCTCATGGGGATCAAGAGCAGTTGGTGTCGACTGGACTCGGAGTAATGGGCACACATGTTGTAAATCCATAGTTCATATGCTCAAACGATGTACTTTAAACATTACGGTTTCATACGTTGGTAGATACAGCGTGATCTATATCTTTATCGAATATGCTGCCTTGATCCAGCACAAATCCCGGCGAATATCTACAGTGTTCACGAGTGGAACTTGTTGTAATGGAAACTAAAGCATATTGAATAGTTGCGCTCTTATATACATACTAAATCAATTTATCAATTTAGAATCACTGCAACAGAATCGCAGTAAGAAATTTGCGTTGCAGTAAACCTCCGATGACAGAACTTGAATCAATGTTTATAGAAGAATCAATGTTTTGTCTCTTTGACGCTTGATTAGAACCGCGGGAGGACTTCAAAATATTTCTACGACCGTGCTGTTACAAAGTTGACCGGGATACCTTCCTGGTCCTACTTGCTAGTCAATCGAATAAACTCAGAGCTGTATCGCTGTAGCAGTATGGAATTGTGCGTAGTTTCTGAATCAAACTTTAAATAGTGCAGGATTTTTTGATGGGGATGCAAGATCCAAACAGGGGATGTCGACTTGTTTCGAGCAATTCACATCTGATCCACAATCAAGACGCAGAACAGAGTCGCTCGCGCCTTGGAATGGGAAACTGCTCGACTTCCTAAGAAATAGTCAATCCTTGAACAGTAAAATGTACAGCAATCACTTCTCGTGGGTGCCACCGGGGTCTTGCCACACCTCTTATGGATACCAACGACAAACGCAAGCTTCATTCATCTCCCCCACTCTGGAAAACTACCCGAATCTCTTACCCGCAGTGCGAAAGAAGGTTCTAATGTTCGTTGGCACGTCAATCCATCCTGTTCTGGAACAGTAGTGAGAAAAGGCCCCGCCTCCGCCCACCAGCACGGCTTCCGTGCTGACGATGACCTTTCCCACCTGAACGCAAAGAACGATCCCCAGGCAATACAGACCAACGAGATTCCGGCGGGTGGAAGACCAGCAATTGACCAGCGAAGACCACACGAGTCCAGACTCCGGAGTACGGACTGAGAAAGGTCGGACTCGTCACTCGTTGGAGGAGTGTCGGTACCGTCCGTCCGGTGACCGTCCATCGAATGAGGGATTGACCAGTCGAGCACGACGGACCAGAGCAGACCCCGGCGTACGGGGTTGATGATGAAGCTATTGCCATCGAGTGAGAGCCGACCGGACAGACGCACCGCAATTGAGCGATTGACGCAGATGACGGAAAGGACTCGGGCTGCAGGCATTCCGATACATCACGAGATGGGGCGAAATGAGCCGGTCGCCTGTGACATGATCCGGTCTGTTTTTGCGCAGGGCGTGTGCTAACGCCGTTAGCACACGGCAGGCGCGTGTTGCCATGAGACTTCACCGTTAGCCTAACGGTGAAGTCTCATGGCAACACGCGCCTGCCGACGAGCGTACATCACTGTCGTCCGGTCAGTTTGAAGGTTTCTTCGGTTCGTCTTTTCTGGCTCGTAGTTTGCGGGAGCTTTTCCGCTCACAGAGGCATCGCCCTGGGGTGGAGGCGACCGGGTCTCCCGATCATTACTTCAGGCACGAGTGGCCTTCCCCTTTCAACGAACACGATTGCGACTACGACTACCGATCTGCTGTACCAAGTTGCACGGACAGAACCGCCCTGAGGCGCTACAACGAACTTTTCCACTGCTTACAGTAGTCCGATGGCTCTTGTCTGCCAGCTGTCCTTTCGAGATTTATTTCCTGGCAGAAAACTGGCTGGTGTCAGTTTTCTGCCGTGTCAGTAGGACGTCACCTACCACTTTCCGGTCGAGAGTGTTCTTAAATCTCTGATTGCTAAATGCTGTGCTGCTGCTCCCATATGCTAGGACCGATCTCTGCTCAAGAGGAACTGGTGACGGTATTGATGGGAAGCTCATCGACACAAAGTAGAATCTATTATTTCTTTGCGGTGCTGTGGGAGGGCCTTTCGATGACTCGAGTCTACTGCGCTTCATTTGCTGAGAATTCTCATCCCATTCTTACTTTCTCGCGTTTTGCATGTTTTGCTCCCCCATCGGAGGTAGCATGAAGTTTGACGGTACTGCTCAAGAGGTACAGAGCCTGTAACTTTTCTGAGAGAGATGTATCGTTCTAAAAGAGTACAGTACGACGCTAGTGAACAGTTCTCCCAAACTCCATATGTTTCCGGCCTTTCGATATGGCCCTGGGTGCTGGATTCTGGGACCTTGGCGAGTAATGAATGAAAGCAGAAACCTTGTTCTTATGGTGAACTGTACTGTAATCGTACGTGCACTTCACCGCTGTAGTAGGACAGTACCGTAGAGAATGTACATTTGCGAGCTGCCTGTACAGTCACTTGAATCAGAAACTTGGGATCACTGTCCGTTTTCGTTGCTCCTAGAATTAGAAGTTACATACATATAATTTAATGTCATGCTACCAGCATGCATTACAGCGTTCCGAGCAGATAAAGCGCGATATACTTGAGACTTGTAAAGCGATCGATCAATAAACGGCCCTACCTTTCGTGGAAAAATCAGTCATTTCACCTGATAGTCATGCAAGCTGCCCGTGTCCTCCAGAAATATGTGTGTACAATTGAAGCTTTCTGTCGACAGCACTACCGGTGCGGTAAAGAGCCTCACTCTCACGCTCAGATCTAACTGCCGCTCTACGTTACCGATCGACTTCTGCTTTGATACGACCCGACCACTTGGCAGCACATGGCATGGAGTCGGATTCCTGAACAGATCCACACCTTTTTTCTTTTCTTTTTCTTTTGCTGATCCTCCGTCTCCTTACTTGCATGATATGGGTCTTTCTATCTGAATCTGAAGAGTCGAGGTTACATTCTACACCACGCTCAAAAATTACTCGCGATTCTGAAGAAGAGAGAACACTCGAAACCTGGCTAAAGAGCGGCTTGTGGGAGGCATGGCTGTGAACTGGTGGGTGAAGTGGAAGATATTAATGATAGGAAGAAAGCCATATATCTACAACTCTCTTATAAGTGTCGAACAACAACTCGAAGTCAAAGATCACCGAAAGGATGCTTATTATAAAGGCAGCGGGAAGAAAGGGGAAGACAATGTTGTCAGGATATAGAAGAGGCTAGGCACCTGATTGATCCAAGCTCAAAAGCTGGAATATCTTTCTTCCAACCTGGCTACACCGCTCATGGAAACAGAAGGTCTAGTGCAGGTCAGTGTACGATTTGTATAAAAGAAGTCATTTTGGTTGGCATCCATGGGATTCGAAGCTTCAAAATGAATCGTGTATTAAGTTTTATAACAACTGCAACCAGTGAACATACATCATTTCAAAGCTGTCAGTATTGAAGAGTCTCTCCGGGAGACCACAAAGCACCTTTCTTTATGCCCCATCCGCATCTGATTTCAAAATGTTTCCTACTACGCCGTATACACAATCTTCCATTATTTTCAATTGTGCTGCCTTTCAGAGTCTCGTTACAACAGCCTCTGTATCACACGTATTGAAAAGGCAAGGGGATACACTGGTTTGCCGGACCTGGAGCACTCGTAGCCTCTGCATGTGTCAATTTCCGCCTTGAGGACTTATTGTCTTGAATGATAAGTCGGGAAAAATTTCTCTAGAACACAGGAAGGATACAGATGCCGGTGCCGTGACAGTCTTTCCAATCATGGTAAAATTTCTGTTGTGGTATCTTTTTCTGAATCAAATTATGCAGCATCTACTATTCAATCTACTCTTCCTTGAACTTCCATGAAGTTGTAGGTGGATGTTTCAAGACCCATGAAACTTTCCTCCGCTTTCATGCGCAGTCGTTGTAGCAAAGGTCCAAAGATACAACTTGTCAGATCAGGTGTGATGAAACTACGGACAATACTGTTCATGAGTACGTTTTACTTCGAAGCCTTCGCTTTGGTAAAGAGCGAAACTGGAATTGAAGAGATTTGTTTGTTGTGAATTCTCACATCTGCACATGGACAGAGACCTCCTTTTGCCGAAATAATGGGTAAGATCTCATGAGCACGTGCACTTTTAACAAGCGATGAGTGGCGTGCTAGGTCTCCTACACTTCGCAAGTTTACACACAACAAAGTGAAAATGCTAGAAGTAGAAATATTTAGTAAAAGCAGGCAAGGCGCTATCAAGCCCAACTATCTAGGTTAAAATTTCTACATAGCATATAGCATCGCAAGAATCATAAAGCAAACTGCTTGCTCTCCTATCTATTGCATCACCTAGTGATATACTTAAAATACTAAAGACCTTTGCATACAATAGTCTATTCCATAACCTAAACAGATTAATCATAGATGACATTTTTGTAAACCTTATACTTGAAAGATGTTTCCCTGGTTTCATGTGCAGGATTTGTAATTGTAAGATGCTGCAACATTAACCTTTATTTTCCAGAACCAAATAAAGTTTGGACCTAATCCTACTCAATTGCAATGCATATTTCCGCTTTCTTCTCTTGTTCACTAACAAATAGAACAACCTTACTCTCATCATAGATTTCAATGCCAATTTTCGATATCTTCTCTTGTTTAATAACAAACACCACATCCCTACTCTCAACATAGATGCAAATCCTCAGGTATCCGTATGTTCAGGGAGTCATATGGATGCTTGCTACAACTAACGTAATATCACCGATCGTAAATGAGTCTTAAAAGTATTATTGGATCAAGACAACGCGAAACTTTATTGATGTTAAATGCCATCAAGCTCTTATGCATGACCCAGCCACTATTTAATTTTATTTTTTAAGAGTGATGCTCCTGTTTTACCTCCAAGAAAAAATAATACTCTGATTTTCATATATTTAAAAGAAATGAAATCATTCACATTCATCTTAAGTATAAAATTCCCTAGGATAATTGAACATATAACAGAGCTTACTTATCAGCCCAAGATACACAAAAAAATTTCGGTCGTTTATATTACAAAGCTTGTTCTCGTAAAAAAATGGCCAGAATGTATTTCTTTAGGTGCCAGATCTCAGGTTAAATACTGGAGTTTTTAAATATAAATATAGCCAAAAAATGATCTATGATTTTTGTATCAAATAAAGTGAAGCACGATCCTAACATAGGTGGATTGTCAGGAAAAATATTCAGAGTTAATTTCCTTTGAATCATCTTTACGTATTAATTATGTTTATCTAATTATTAATTGCATATATCTTGTATAATTAGGTTGTCGAGAAAGATTTATTTCTCTACTTGCACTGATAGGATACAATACAATTGTCAAATATTAAATTTCATAAATCATTCTGAAACGTAGATATAAGGAATAGTAGCGAAATAACTTGGTACTTTGACAAGAGACAAGAAAATAACTAAAACTGATGAATCCTACAATGTTTTCTCGGTAAAAGGAGATGAGTTTGACACAAATCTCTGAAGAAATTGATAGTAAAATGACCTTAAACTCATTATGAAAAAGCTAATGATTGTCTTTATCTTGACAGATCATCACGATGAACAACTTAAAAAAAAAATATTTTCAACATCATTTATGATTGTTTTGATCACTCTTAGATATAATAAGCATATCATATCTAGTCTTATATGTATAATTTTTTATGACAAGTGATGTAAAAACTAGATTGAATAATGCTAATGATTGATTCATAAGACACGATTGAAATTTAAAACGGATTATGTTGTTTCAGTTCTCATTTGAATCTATCAATCAATAAATGTTTCAATATTTTAATTTAAACCTATAATTATTGTGGAGTGTATAATTAAATTTTTATGAATATAACTCATAAGGTTTAAAATTTATTTTAGTGTCATTGGGTTTTTATACGTTTCAAGTTTTGGTTAAAAAAATTCTTTTGTTTCAACTCATAAGTTATATATGATAATTAATCTGAGTAATCATGCAGATTATATATTTCATTTAGATTTTTATCTTGAATAGAGGTTAAAAAATATAAATTATAATTCAGATCTTCGTATATGTTTGTGACTGTACCTATATTTTTTGAACTAGTCAATCTGTGAGTATATGTGAAAAAGATAATTGTAGTACTCAATAACACAGTTTAGTATTTCAATCAATAACTCTATGCCATTCATTTATAAAGCATATGAAATATGAACTACATTAATTCTTGTGTGAAATATTTGAAATGCTTAATGTTTTAAATGTCAATCTTCGTTGAAAACTTATATCAATTTGATGATATAATTTACATCTATGGATTACGGAATTTACAAAATTTGTTTGATACTCATTTGGTACAAAATTTCCAGGAAATAAAAGCAAAAAAAATTTCAAAA